TGGCTACTCTACACTTTTCAAAGTATCAACCAGATAATAGTACATTACGTCGCAAAGTGTAACCTTAAGGAGAGTCAATGATTTCCCCAAAATGCTGGGAAAACAATGATTAGGTATTCGGAATGGCAGGTAACTGTCTGAATTTTATCAATCTTTTTCAACTAAAATTTTTGTACCAATAAAATTTCAGCATTTAATACAAGCTCTGAAGAACAACAATGAATTCAAGCTTCTTTTTAATTAATTAATCAATTTTTGGTAAAAAACTTGAAAAAATTTACAAATACGTGATGATATTCTTCGATTTTAGTGTAAGGCACAATATCATTAGCGACCGATTTAATTAAAATATCATTGCTGCCGTTTCTTTTTCTTAGAGAATCGTACTGAACGATTAAATCACTTGTTTATTATTTTTCTGCGGTTATCAGAATCAGCTAGAATTAGAATACCACTGCTTGGGGTTTTCCTTGATCAAGAGATTTGAAAAATGAATGATGTGACGTTTCTTTTGAATGAAAGTAAATTTAGACGAAAAAAGTAATTAAATATTTTACTTTTCATCAAAAAGAATGTTTTTTTTTAAGAAAAATTATTTTCTTTTGAAGTGTTTCAAAATGCATGAAATCATAGGTATGAGAAAAAAACACTTTTAAACCATGTATGGTTGGAATACAAAACTACAAAGACTGAGGGTATCTCATTGTCACAACAGTTCCATCAAACTAATAAATTTTTTCTGAAAAAATAAGCTAAAGTTGTTTCTGTTCATGCTCTAAAAAATCTAGGACGTTTTCACCAGCAGTATAAGGCAATCACGACGACCGTGTGTGTATATTTTCCGAGATTTCGAGTCCAAACGTTTTATTGAAGAGGATTGGATTTGGATTTAGTGGAACTTGCGATGGAGGTACATTTGAACTATTTACGACTCCTGTAGTGAAAACCTTAATTTTAAGCCTCAAGGGGACGATGTAGGGGATAGAAGCTGGATTAAATTAATTTTAGGAAATATGGGATACCCTAGAATAAATGTAACCCTCCTCAAGGCATCAATCACCGAGAGAGGGAACAAAGTACAAGGGCGCGCGATGATTAAAGTACATACCGTATCTGAATCCGCAGTAGCACTGTAAATCAAATTGTGTTTACATAATAATTTTGAGAATTATGGTTAAAATATTTTTTTTTTGTTAACTTGCTATAGTGGTATAAATCATTTTCATACAATTAACTTCATTGATAATTTATAAAGTATTCTTCCACGTCTACTAAATTGATCAATTATTTTTCAATCAAATATTCACTACAAATAGGCTGTAAAGTAAAAAAAACATTTACTTGACTGATTTTTTGTATCTCTTGCATTAATTTTTGGTTTGAAACTGGCTCACGTTTTTAAGTTGCGAAAATGCGTATGATACGCTTCAGCTGATAGTGGATCAAGAAAGGGGGCACGGATATTGTTATCTTGTTCGGATAGATCATTTGTACGCTGTACGATATAAGCGTGGTTTGGATTAATTTTTTAAATCTGCAATTTTTACACATACGTATTGTTTATAACCCATTGTAGCAATGCTCAATATCATGAATTTATATTTTAGTTTTTTCTTCTCACTGTTTATAGCCAAGAACATTTTTTCATTTACTACGCGGTATTATTACAAGAGCTTGAACTAAATCAATGTTTGACATAATTTTTTTCGTTTCTGATATAAAATACTATTAAAAGGCATTAAAAATATAATTTAAACGATATTTTAGTGAATTTCGTTAAAATCATTTAAATAACCATTAGTGACGAGATGTGAACTCGAGTTAAAAACATTAATCATTTACTTGTGTTTATCGTATCAACGAAAGGAATGATGACCACATTTTCTTGTCTTTATAGACCAACTGTAACACTTTAAAAATTAAGTCGAAGCTTGATATTTTATTATTACTAGGTATTATTCATTTGCGTAAACTCTTGCTGAATTTACTCGGGCTGCAAGCTGAGTTTGGTCGTAAGTACTACAAAAAAAAAGTACATTTTATATTGCAATGACTTGATTCTATTCAACAAGTTCGAAAAAAGTTGAAAAACTTTCGTAACAAAGATTCATCCATTCGTTATCGTCTTTTGTTCTGAATTTTTGAATACTTATCACTTTCCCTGTAAGCTTAAAAAATTTGACACTTACTAAGGGCTAAAAAACTGAAAAAACAGAATAAGATTTTCATAAACTTTGACTTTATATAACCTTCTCAGAGTCTACCAAATTACAATTTTAATTAATGATTCCCTTTCTGACTAAATGACATAGTTATCACTTTCACTTTTGGTCACAGAATGACATCACTCCCTGAGCACTTTCGTTATCCCCTATTACTTAAGACTTTGAAATACTGTGTATTGTTTTGACTTTTTGATTTTTCTTCTACTATCACAAAAAGCTTGTTATTGAAATTTTTTAATTTGTTCAAGTTAACGACTATTTAAAGAAAGAGTGGGAGAATTGCATATAATTTTTGGTGCAGTTAGAGTGGGCTTGCAACGACTAGGCTGCGAACCTTTTTTTTTCTACTGAGAAACATTCAAAGGCAAAAAAACACCCAAATCAGAATAAACTTTGTTTAAACTTACGAATAATATCAACCAAAAGATTAATTCCATAAGTTAGAAAATCCAAATTATATCATTGGTAGTTGTTGTTGACTATACCTACTTACAAAGAATAATACCGAGCAATCTGTACTTTCACTTATTAAAAGGAATTTCTTGGCACTGATATCATACATTACAATGAAAAGAAATAGTTAAAAATCCAAGAGTTACAATGTCGTAATCGGGGAAATCAAAGCATCAAATTTTAATCTGCAGAAAACTTAATAAATCGTAAATATTTATGTATTCGAAGCCGAGGAACAAAAATTTAAATGAAGATAAGTGCACGAAAATTTCGCGATACCTTCTAAACAACTGAACGGTCTCATTCGTCACGAAAATTCCTTTGCAGTATTTGAGTGCTCGTAGCACGAAAATTCTTTTCCTCGAATAGCACAATATCGTGATAATTCATGAATTCAGTAGAAAGTCTGTTATAACATCAGTTTCTCTTCGTCATCACCTTAACATTGTAAATGTAATTGAAACAAACAATTTAAAAAAAAAAATTTTTCTCAACTAGAATAAAATTCTATGCCAAGCATGTAAGTAAACAGTATACTCGCACCTTTGGCACATTAAGACCATAATATAAGTACATCGCTCTCATCACCCATTACCATAGCGCTGCACCCTCATCGCGCTTCATGTATATAAATATACTCATGCACGCACATTAGATAACTTAATAGGTACCGTGAGCTCACGCGAGTCCCGTAGTAAAAGTAATAGTTATGATATTAATAATAATACCGTAGTGATAATACTAATAATAACAATACCACCAATGTAAATATGCAGAATTGTGATAAGTATCGTGTATTTAATTATTATATAGCGAGCAGCGTCAATAGTAATATTATATTATATACACAGGCACGCACACAGAGACGCATGAGCATACACAAGAGACACCGATAGGTAGGTATGTATAGTATAGGGGTCGTGTACACAAGGAGAGGAGAGCGGGGCTCGCTCGCGCGGACAATACTTCTACGGCCGACATAGACCTGGTTCCGTAAGTAGGTCAACCCCACCGCGGCGCGCGCTGCTCCCTCCCCCGCCGGCGACTCCCTGCTCCGACGCCCCCCCCCTTTGCCTCCTCCTGGACCCTCCTTCTCGCTCGCCCCCGCTCCTCCGCGTAGCCGTCGCTCTCTCTCCCTCGCCAACCCACCCGGCTCTCGGCTCCGCTGGCGGGCAACAACGGCGGCAAAGCCGACGCAGGCACCTGGTGGCATGCGCGCTCGCTCAAACACTTTCACTTATGCCGCGCGCGCGACGCGCCGCCGAGTAGTTTTGTGCTGCATGCGACTCCACTGCCTCTCCTCGGCGATCGAGTGTCTTACTTAACTTATACATCTCACGACTCAACTCCGCGCCACAGTGTGTGTTTTTTTTTGTTGTCCGTTCGTGCGTCTTGTGCCACCCCCGTTGACTCCAAAGTGCTGTACACACACGACATCGGAAAGGGAGAGTCGTTGGTGTGTCAAAGGGCTGCGGACGGAAACATTGAGAATTCCCGTGCAATGGCTGATAGAGCCTAGCGAACGCCTCCAACTTGAGAAAGCGAGAGTGACGGAACTCGCCAGTAGAAGCAGCTGTCTGAAGTAATACCAATCTCCTCCTCCTGTAGATTCGGCGTTTGGGTGTAGTGGTGGTGGTGGTGGCGGCTACCCGGCGGAGTCAGTTATTGGGGGAGGAGGAAGAGGGAGATAAGGACGGAAGGAAGGAAGGGAGGGGGAGCGGCGGCGCTCCTCGATCAGTCGGTGTGTGTAGCGTGTGTCGGCGTACACACAACGACACGGAGAGGAGGAGGCCAGAGCGAGCGAGCGGTGGCCCTTCGGGAAAACGAGGATCAGTGGCACGCCGAGCGCCGTGCCGTCGAGTTGTGCCTCTCGGGCCCCCCACCACCGTGTCAGCGTAACATCGCTCTTTTGGTACAATCGTACCTTGTACTCGTACGGCGAGTAACATCTCTTGAGATAGTTCTTCTGCCTCGTCGTTATTGTGCTATAATCTGACACTCTGCTCCAATAATTAATGATACATTAAGTACTGATTATTGAAAGTGTTGCTGATTAACGATAGTCGTTTTTCCATTCGGGAGTACTTGGTTCAAATACTTGGGGTACATACTGAATGTTACGAGTATAATATACTACCTGATGCAGTAACAGTGAATCACCAGTGACTCGGAGTGGTTCTGTGCTTGTTTTTTTGTTCGGTTATTGTGTCCCAGTGTTCGTTTCTCCCCAGCTTATACTCTTGACATAAAACCTGAGCACCCCCCCCAAGCCCCCCCCTATTTCTACAAGCATTAAAATTAAATTGTGCCTAAAACATAAATTCGTACGACTCGGTGCACTCATATATATATATATATATACACACACAAACCACATACATACACGTACACACACATTGGTCAATGGTATTCGATAGTCTGTTATCAACGAGGCGCAGCGGTTGCGTCGACAGTGAGCAGTAAAGAGGAGTTCCGGCTGTAGTCCACCTAATCAGTTAAATATGTTTCGGACGCACTAGTTTGTTGTTGTTATTGTTGTTACGATACACAAGTGTTATTTTTGTCGTCTGCTGTGCAGCGCGAGTGTAACGTGATACTGTATAATTAATTTTTTGGTGTTGTTGCTCCGATATTTTGTTTCTATTCTACGTAACTTGAATGAAGATCAGTTTTACAACAGATAGAAACAAGAGAGTTAAAGTATCCTCAACGAAGGGTAAATCCAGCTGATGCCGCATCGTTCGTGGTCACGAGTTCAATTAGGCCCCGATCGCATGTTGGCCCGAGCGCTGTCCCAGGCACCCCCGACAGGCGGCTACTGATATGTTATTGGAGATGGAGCAGCATTCGGGCCTGATATCCCTGAACATGTCGCCGTTCCACCTCAGCCCCCAGAACAGCCCTCAGAGTGCTGGTGGTGCGCCTCAGCAGTCCCAGCAGCAGCAGCAGCAGCAGTCGAACCAGCAGCAGCAATCCAACCAGCCCCACCACCAGTACAGCCCCTCGCCCTACGCCAACTGCGCTCAGCAGAGTCCCGCCTCGAACCCGCTATGCCACCCACAGCAGCAGCAGCAGCAGGCCTCTCAGGCCCAAAAAAACCAGCAGCAGCAGCAGCAGCAGCAGCCAAGTAGCGGTGGTGGCATGGCTAGCTTCGAGAACGCCTTTTACGAGGCTACGAGCCTAGACGAGCGCTGTCCCATGTGCGGCGACAAATCGCCCGGTTATCACCAATACGGCCTCCTGAACTGCGATAACTGCAAACACCACCTGTTTAGGCCCAGCAACAGCTCGCCCAGCTGCTCCGTCAGCAAGAAGGTCTACACGAGTCTGTTCTCGCCAACAGGTGGAGGAGGCGGTGGCGGCGGCGGCAATAACGCCACGGGCCCCAGCAGCAGTAACAACAACAACAACAACAACAACAACAACAGCTCGAACGGGCCCACGGTCCAGCAACAACAAAGTACGGGCCTCGAGTCCGCGAGCTACAGCGCCAACAGCCAGCAGCCCAACAACAGCACGGGTATGTGCCATCAGGTGCAACAACAGCAGCAGCAGCAGCAGCAACAACAACAACAACAACAACAACAGCAGCAGCAGCAGCAACAGGGGAGCCACTTGGCCGGCCAGGTTGGCGTGGGCGTGGTTACGGGCTCGATCCCCGGGCCCTCGGACTTTCCCGACACGAAGGACGTGATAGAGGAATTGTGCCCGGTGTGCGGGGACAAGGTGTCCGGTTACCACTACGGTCTGCTAACGTGCGAGTCCTGCAAGGGCTTTTTCAAGCGGACTGTGCAAAACAAGAAGGTGTACACGTGCGTGGCCGAGCGCCAGTGCCACATCGACAAAACCCAGAGGAAGCGCTGTCCGTTCTGCAGGTTCCAAAAGTGCCTCGAGGTCGGCATGAAGCTCGAAGGTGAGTACCTAAGTACCCTAATTTCTTCTTCTTCTTTGTTTTTTTTTTTTTTTTTCTTTCAAACCTTTCGCTCGTTTTCTCACGCGCAGTATCGTAGGTACACACCTCGTTGCATCGACCGATCTCTATTTTTACCGATACCCATGCACTTGAGTGCACAAGTAATTGTCCCTAGCTTAGCTCACTAGAGAGCAACGAGCTCTCGCGTGATTCCGAGTATAATATTACTTATATTATAGGTAGTGCGTGGTGGTGTAGTCGCTGGACGTTGTGCGTGTACCCAGGTATAATGTATATATACTTACGTATGACGCAAGGAAACCGGTTCCACGCTCCGCTCCACCTCTGCGCTCTCGTCTATACCTCTTAATACACCGCGACGTGTCGTAATAGCACAGTATTATATATGTATAGGCTCGCGAGAGAGCGCGCGCGCGCTTCTAACCTCCTTATTCGCGGGCCGGCTTTTTATTTCTCGCGCCGATGGCAAGACAAAAAAAAAATACTTATGTGTGTCGCGATGCTTTTTTACACGAAAGAGCGAGGTTCCGAGCGCGCGAGGGAGAACGCCCCCCTCTACGCGCCACTTTTGTATGGTTAATCGATAGGGCGCGTTTTCATATACGGGACGCGCTAAAATAAGCGCGTCGTTGATGCCGGGTGAAAAACAAAAAACAAAAAACAAAAAACAAAAAACCAAGTTGCTTCTTATCTCCGTTTCGCGTTATGTGCTTATGTGCTCGCGTGTGTGTGTTGGCATGTATTCAGCTATAGTTGTGTATATACATTGAGCAATCGCCCATATTCGGATCGACCATACATATTCAATTCCACTTCGGTTGACACACTTGGCGTAGCATACTTACGGATATTGCCGAAAGCGAGAGTGCGTTATTGACGAATTTCGCGCTCTCGATATGTTATGTATACACATACCCATGTATATAGGTACGCACACATGCGAGAGTATAAACATTGGGAAATGGAAGCCATAAGGTCGGTCGGGTATATGGTTTCACGGTTTTTCCCTGATATGGGGTTGTTTTTTGCCCAACTCTCTCTCTCTCTCTTTATTTTTTCCGTAAGAGAAATTGCCCTTGTACATTCAGAAGGAAGAATCACGTTTTTTTTTGCGTAAATCGGCCTTACCGCGGGATGGATAAGAACTGCGAGTACTATACAACACATCGTCGGTCGAGAGTATCGATGTAGAGTTATATTCCGCCGCGAGTGTAGTGTTTATTACAGTGACATGTGTGTACACTTAATAGCAAGCGCTGCTCTAGTTAATATTCGTATACAAGTATGCGTGTAAGTATAACACAATCAGCAACTCGAGCGGTATTCCGGCACAGGTGCGAACCGTAAAAACTATTGTACAGACAATTCAGACGGTTCAAAGTGGAGTGTATACTGGTGACAATTTTAATTTACGAAAATCGCACTCTCTCTCGTCGCCGAACCCCTTATCGCGATCGTACCTGTCGGGGACGAAAAAAATTGTAAGGATAACATAGAACAACGAAAAAACACCACACACAAGCGGCGTGAAATATACTTACAGCTGAAACGGGTATAATATATTTACTACAAGTATCGCGGTTGCGTATGGCCAACGCGACATAATATAGTGTAGATAAGAAAGAAGCCCGCGAACGTAAAAAAGGGGCTAAAAGTGTATTTGTTTCAGCAGCGGTCAAACGTATTTCGATCGAGACTTGGCTCGCGCCCTAGTTTTCTTCCTCTTCTCGTACACACGCGTGTCCGTACGCGTAAAAAACGAAAAGACACACTTGACATGCAATGATGAGGCGAACGAACCGGCAGTCGAGTTGAAAAAAAATTTGCTAATGCATGGGACGCGGTCGCGGGGGGGAGCAGTTAGGAGCGAGAGGGAGCATAGAGGAGAAAATAAAAAAGAAACCACCCAACGACTACGAGAGGCCGCGCTCCACGCACAACAAAGTACACACGACGTATCTTTTTTTTCGTGTTGCGAGAGGTTTTTTCGGCTGTCGCTGCTTTCGTGTATTATCCACAACCTCCTTTAAAAAGCTCTCGCGCTCTCTCGCGTTGGGCAACACTTGTATGTACATGTATATACTCGTGTATATACAAGTAGACCGCCGCGGTCCGTAAATTATACGAAAACCATGTGGCCCAACTGTTGCGACAATCCCTCCCTCTCTCGCTCCCGTTTGGCCGAGCACACACGGGGTTATACGCTGTACACTCTATATATATATATGTGTGTGTGTTATATGTGTCGGTGGCGAAAATTGGGCCTCGCTCGCTCGGGAATGACACGTGGTAGGTATATACCTACACTTGCACGATCGAACCGTCGATACGACAGCTCAAGTTTTCGGCTCGCGACCACCTCCCCCTGCACCGTACAATCACCTCTTCGTGCCGTAAGTGGTGGCTCGCGTGAATTTATTATTCTCTCGGCTGCTAGCTGTTCCACTTGACAGTTTCATCGATACGTCCCGATGATTCATTGTCGCCGATCGATTATCTCTCTTTTTTTGTTTTTCATCGAAATTTCATGGTTTTCGCCACATGCTTGTATACGAGCTTGTATACACCAGAACAGTCGCTGTAAAAAACCGTGTAATTGCGTTCGAGAGAAGTCTTGAATTCGTAAACGGAAGGGCTGGCTCGCGTGCGCGCAAAAATACGCAAAAATACGCAATCTGTAGAGGTATACTTTTATTCCATAAGATTTAACACGCAAGTTAGTCCCGGAAAATGGGGGCGCCACAACACTTGTACTCAGCAGATATACATTTATACGCGGTGCGTAAGCGTCGAAAAATCGGAAAAATCGAGTATGTTTTTCAAGAAACGAGACGTTATTCGAGGCGCCGTTAATCCGTTATCAACGCGAGCGAGGGAGGAAGCGAGCAAGCGCCAAGACAGCCTCTATACGCGGCAGAATCTAGAGCTAAAAGCCGCAAAGTAGATTTATAGTCCTGCAAATGTATACCCCATCTGCAATTGTACCAACGAGCGCGTGGGAGTCGAGCAGCGCATCGGAAATTCAAAAGCCGCGATTCCTCGCACTTTTATTATCTCGAGAGAGAAAGGGGGGGGGGGACGTGTATGTAGGTGCTCTTGCGTGTGTGTACACATGAATTATTTGTGTCAAGGACGCGCCGTCTCAAGGTCGTGAAAAGTAAATCGCGAGAGCGCGCGCGCGAAAGAGAGAGAGAGACGCGTATATATACATACATACCTACAATGTACAGGTGGCGGTACATTATACCCAAGGACGACGTGGGCTGGCTTTTGCAGGAGAAAATATCACGAGCCATCGTCGGCTCCTGCGTGCACCTCTCTCGCGTTTCGTTTTTCCATTGACGGGTTTCACTCTCGTTTTCTCCGGTTTTTTGCAGACAATGCATTAATTTGTTCCGCTCTCGGAGTGTTTGCTCCGCCGCCCCAGGGATCACGTGTACTTGGGCACTGCACTTTGTCGGGTTTTTCCAGTTGTTATTTCCGGTCGATCAACAAACAATCGTCCATCGAGTACCCATCGCCCGTAAGGGCCAAAGAAAAAATCACATCAGCCGACCACGAGTGGCCTCGCAGATATGCACATTCGGCCTACATAATTACCCATTACTTGTAACCTACTCCTATGGTTGCGCTATTGTTTCCGGTTTCGTCATTTCCAGGCCACGTATATATATATATTATATAGTCGTCGTACATATGCCATATTACAATATCAATGGAGGTCAAGAGCGAAAACACACATTTGCTAATGAAAGAGAGGCAGACAAACGCGAAGACATTTAGCATTAGATGTAACCATGTATTGTATGTGTATATATAGAAATGACGCGCGTGCAAGTTGTCGACCGGCGCGGCCGGCTGAGATATAATCGCGGCCTCTAACGTTATGATACACATCTCATACTTGGTAAAGATATACGCGTATCTCATGGGTATAGAAAAACTGTATCCACGTAATATGGGCCACCACAGCTACGTGGGTGTGTGCAAACGAATTAGAACAACTCAATACATTATCACTCGTATCCCTGCTGCGTGACTTTTTTTTTATAGTTAAATCATATCCCCCTTGCCTCACTGCAGTGTATCTTTTGCTGTTCTTGGCCGTCTTATGTATGTATGTATGTATGTCGACCGGCAAAAAGGTTCATCATCAGGTCCAAAAGTGTAATATATTGTATGTATTTACCTTTTTCCGGATCTCATGGTATCTGATCGCGCTACGGAAAATTTTACAAAAATTATTGGCTTCGATGGAGAGAACGGCGCGTTTCCCATAAAAATTAACATACACGGAAAACCAAATGTTTGCCACTTCAGACCGCATCGGGAAAGTCAGCTTCATCGCTGTGCTTTCAACAAGCGATCTGTTGATGCGGGCGCATTTTAACACCAAACAGTACGCAGCTACAGACAATTATTGTTTCTCCTTACAGAGAGTGTATACACGGCACATCTATTGCGAAGGAAAAAAAAAAAAAAAAAAAATAGAGCTGCGTGCACCAAAGCGACGGACAAAAGGAAAGAGGGACCTCAAAATAATTTGCGCTCTCACCTTAAGCACAAGTATATAGTATAAGACATTCGAGCCGAGCGGAGACCGCGCCCGAAGCCCGAGAGGAGGAGGCGACGGTGCACTTTCGCTCCTCGCTTCATTCTCCTGTGCGCGCACAGAACACGCGGCACAAATATATATATATATAACACACCGAGAGCGAAAGCGCGATTCAGCGAGAGAGAATGCAATCCAGCGCCGGTGTGTGCTGTTTTCGTGCCGATTAACGTAACCGATGCGGTTCGCTCTCTGCGTGCAATGTGTGCCCGCGCGCGAGATTACGCAACCCGCGGCCGAGAGCCAATTGATTGTGATACTGTGATATACATGTATATCATACACGGCATACTATTATTTCTGCATCTGCCCCCTCCGGGTGTGTTGTGCATACGCGTACTTATATACACATATAATATGTGTCTCG